AAATCTTAGAAATTCTGTTTTTATTATATTAAATTCGTATTTATTCAATTTAATAAAAAACTTATACTATTACAATTATTTTAATACCTTTTAAATATACCCTATATACTCCTATTTTTTCTTAGAATATATTAGAATATTATTTAAATATACTATTACAAAATCATCTAATAGACTGATTAATATACAATTAATATATAACTGAAAGATTACAAATACATTTGTTAATCTAAATAATATAATATAATATTTAAATAATTTATATTTGATTTAGAATACAGTTTTCTATTTATTATTAAATATAATTCAAATTCAATAATATATATTCTTTATATTAAATTTAATAAATACTTTAATATTTATTAATTGATTTAGAATTTTATTAATTAACAAGAATAAATATTAATTCTTAATTATAACCTCATTCAATTCTTTATAATTTATATATAATTATAGAGAATTATCTTTTTTAGATATAAATAAGATTAGTGTTTTTATTGAACTAATTAAATATTTAATCCATTCTTTTTTTAAAGTAATTTCTAAATATTCTTTAATATAATTAGTTATAACTCGAATAATCTATGAAAAGAAAAGAATAATGGTTTTTTAATAATGTTAATTATATATATAAATTCCCCAACTTTTATTAAAATATTTACTTTTATATTATCAAATATCTTAATAAATTTTTGATATTCCTCTAATATTTTAATTATCTCACTTTTTATTATAACAATTTTGCCTTTTCTTTAGTATATATATTCTTATCAATTTTAAAAGTATTTGTATTCGAAAATGAACCGAATATATACCTACTTATTTTATAACAATTTTATTATTATTATTAAAACATTTTCAAATTCTTTTAAAATTATTTACTCTAATCTTTTTAAAATAAAAATATTCATTTTCATTTTATTTATATAACTCTATTTACTTTATCTTTATTAATATATACTCTTTCTTATCTACCTTAAAAATAATAATTCTAAAATAAATTGTTATTTAATATTATAATAATTATAAATTATAACTTGAAAGTCCTATTTTATTCTATTTAAATCAAATATTTATATTAAAATAATATACTTTTTATAAACTTGAACTTTTTTATTAATAATACTTCTAATTAAATATAATTGTTTTCCTATGTCTTCTAATTTATATTATCTTATAATATTTTTATTAATAATATTTAAATTTATAAGTAAATCTATAGTACTTTCCTTACAGTACTAGGTCATATATACTTTATTAAAGAATTGATCTTTTACTATTATTCATTATATATTGAATTCAATAGGATTAGTATCGCTTATTGATTCATTTCGTTTTTTGTCTTTTTTCCTACCCAATTGTTCTCCTGGATCTTCACCATACTAATCCACTTTTTATTAATATAGGCATTGTTTATAACGATATAGCCTTTCTTATTATAAAAATAGTAAATTAAATATTTCTTAGAATCGTTTCAAATCTCTATTGAAATATTATTATATTTAAAGTGATTTTAGTTTATTCAAATAGATTACTATCCTGTATTCAAGGATTTAAAGGATAATTATTTTAAGCAAAAAGTTACTAGGTAGTATTCAATACGCTTCTGATTCCCCTTATAATTTTTTTAATTATATTTAAATTGATTAATTAAAATTATAGTTTTCTTAATAATTATTGAAAGGCTAATAGCCTTTATAACTTTATTCCTTAATAAAAGTTTGAGTTCTTATATAAATTTATTTAATTAAATAAAGACTAAAATACCTTCAAATTTGCTCTCATACTTTACTAAGATAATAGCATACTCCTTGTTGTTTTTAATAAATATTAATTAAATCACTTAATATTATTATAATATTAAGGGAACTAATTATAATAATAAAATTCTATTATTATAATAAAATAATAAAAATTCAATATTATAAGAAAAATTTCTTATATTCTTTATTTTCTTTATATATAAGAAAGAATACTATTATAAAATAAAATAAAGAATTCTTTATTCAAAAAGGAATCCTTTATTAGTTATTTTGAAAAATTTGAAATATCATGTGGAAGCTAGTCCAAATGCGGAATGACAGACGCAATATTAATTTTTCTTTATTATAAAATTGATTTGAAATCAATAAAGAAATTGATTTCAAATCAAAATATTGATTTCAAATCAGAATTTTCATGTACGCCACCTACGTATTATAGGCTGTATAGAGGGCAGGAAAAAAGCATAAATAAGTGGCTTAGGTCCCTGTATTCAGATCTTTTTCTAGTACCCACTTTTATATGTATTCAAGATTATATAATACAATAACAATTCAAGCTTCAATAATAATAGTAATTCTATTTATAAATTCTACAAGCCTAAGCTTTCTATATAGTACTATTATAGTACTATTCCCAATCCAGCCTAGTCAATCCCCTGCTAAGCGCATAACCTGCAATACTCCTATATACTTTTCTGTTTTTATTAAAGCTTGAATTACTTAAATAATATTTCCTGTCATTTGGTCTAAAATATTTAAATCAAATTGTATAAAAAGTCTATAAACTTTATTTAAGTTAGATTAATTATTTTAAATTTAGTATTAGTTCACCATTTAACCAGAATTCTCTTAAGGAAAATGATTACCTATAAAATCCTATAGGATTTATTCTTATAAATTAATAATATAATTTCGAATATATTATTATAACCCTAAAGAAACTTATAAAGCTTTTCAATTAACTTTCTAAAATACTTTTTAAAAGTTATTGATTTACAATTTCGTTTTTAATTTAATTTTTCCTTTTTCCTTTTATATCTTCCCCTATTTCTATATTATAAATAAATAGGAGTTTGATTTTAATTTAAAGTTAATCCATATTCTTCTTTTTTTTATAAATTTCGATAATACAAAGAAGTTTGTATTCCTATTATTTTAATTCTTTAAAAATAATAGCTTTTAGATCTAAAACAAAGTTTTTAAGGGGAATACTCAGAACATAAGATTATATTTATTTTTCTGTTATACTAACTATCTTTTTTATTAAAGTAATAATAAGATTAGAATATTAAAACTCAATAATAAAGAATATATCAAAAAAAAACTAGAAATTTTAATTAAAGATTATATAAGAAGATATATTGAATTATAATTAAAACTAATTTTATACTTTAATTACTTTAAAATATATCCAATTATTTATAAATTATCCTTCTCAAGTTTTGATATTATAAATTTCTAATATTCTTTTTTATAATATTATAATATATTATTCTTTTATAAATCAAATTGATAATTTTTAAATTAAGTTTTATTAATATTCACTTCTTAATAATCATTTTTAGGATTGAGTTCTTACTAATACTAATTTCCTATCAATCACTAAGCAATTAGTCCTTAATTAGCCCAAGATTTCCCCGACTGATTAATAATGTTCTACACTAACAATATAATTTCAAATTACTTTAGAATTTAAAGAATGATTAAATCAATTGATATCTTTTAATTAATAAAGAATTTTTTCATTTTGAAGTTATATTAATAAAGTTAGTATTTTATTTTTGATTATTTTCGACAAAAAGATTGCAAGACCATAAATTCATATTTTGAAAGCTAGTTAAGAAATTGAGTGTATTGGTTTCCCTACACTTCACAGTCAACAAAGTTATCGAGGATGACTTGATTTGCTGCATAAAATTCAACATGCAGCATACAATTATCATTGTACAAAAGATACGATACGATCTACAGCTCCTTGCAAAGTCTGAGATATACGACTATTCCCTCACTCGACGCATTCTCATCCAGCAAACGCAAATCATGCCTGCCACCTAGCTTATCTCCACAACACATGCCTCTTCTACAACATCAAAAGCCAACAAGCCTTGATGCCGCTTCCGACCAAACACTGTCCAGAAGTCAAGCTGGATTAACATTCTCGGTAACCTTTCTTTCTGGTGTTGACTTCTTATGATATAGGACTCTCCGCGCCTCCGAACTCCCCATCTTCCATTTACTCCAAGAATTTCCATCCACGACCCTTCCTCCCACCAACGAACCCAGCACTATCATCTCATTTCTCTCTGATCAGTTGCGTCGAAAAGCCAGAGCACCAAACATAGCATCCTCCACGGCAAATCTGGATAAGCCTTTTCGATCTTCATCGCCAGATAAAGAATCACAGGCGCCCAAACCACACCCCAAAGAAACGTCTTGACAACAAACAAGCAGATCGGTGACATCGAAAGAAGCGTCGTCCACAGGATATAAAGTGTGAGAAATATCACAAATGTGAATGTAAGGGGGCCCTTTAACCCAAAAAGCAACGACATGATGGATACTTAATGAGTTGATATTTATTGAGAAGTTGATGTGCGAAATGAGGTTCCAATCGAGAGCAGCGCGCGTGAGATTTCAAAGTGATGTAGATGAGGAGGATTGGGGATACTAGTGAAAGAATTCCCATTATTGAAGTTCAATCTTTTGTTTTGCTGTTCCATAGAGATGCATATGTATATATCCGTATTTGATGCCACGTAATGCTACACTATCCACGTGATACCTCTCAAAACACTCTTCATTACTTGTGTCGTGCGAACACACAATACAGGCCTCTTCCAAGGGGCGAAATGGTGTCAAGAGTTTGGTTCAAATAAAAGTGCGATATTTACTCTTCTGTCTCTTGAATCTTTATAAATACTAATCAGACGATTTTTTCTTATACTTCAAAAGAGGCAACACTCTCAATAGTATACGCTAAACATCGTAGATATCGAAGCATACTAGTTATACAATGCGTGAAAACTTTCTAGGTAGATCTACATTGAATTAAAATGTTAAAAATCACTCTTCATCACCGGTCAAACAGACTAAAATCTTTTCATAATGATATTATTAGGTTGGTAATCTATCTACTGCTCCTCCCCCCTCTCCCTTCCCCCTCTCCCTTCCCTCTTCTCCCATTCCCCAATCCCCAATCCCGAAACAAACCAGCAAAAGTCTTCGCCTACGTCCCTATTAGTCCTCCAACTCAATCAAGTGATCCGAGCAAATATCCCGATTCAACCCCCCCGCCCCCAACTCCACCCTCCCAGCTTCCCCTCCTTCCTCCCTTGCTTTCTCTCTCTCTCCCCCCTCCACCCAACACCCCCTCACTCCACACTCCACAGACATTTCTGACACCCCCCCCACCCCACAATCCCAAACCTCAAACGGATCCTTCGATTTCATAATCCTACTAAGCGACTCTGGCACCGCATGCATCAACAAGCTCAATCTAGGAGGGGTCCACAATTCCAAAACCCGCGTCTCGAGATGATGAAAAACAGGTAATCGAGCCAACAATTGATGTGTAGGCGGATCCGCCAGACCCTTTTCAACATCATGACGATCTTTTACCATTTTAGGAACCAAGTCTCTATATCTCGTGATAGATCGATGGAGTTCTGTGATCACATTTCCGAGTGCGCATTTATCTTCCTTTTGGATGGTATCCAGATCTACGGACGTGATGGTGTGAGGAAAGCCTCGAGATCCAGTTCGGTATTGGGTTCCGTAGTTTGCTCCTGAGTAGAGAGTGATGGATTTCAAGGCGTGAGGAGGACGCACGATGCTGGTTAGCCATTGATCAAGATGAGCTGGTCCGTTGAACTCATAGGCTAGCTCGCCCCACTGTGATTGGTCGAGTGCGATGCTCTGACATTGGGCTTTGTGCATCGCGGCTACGAGCATAACTGTGATATCTCCGAAGAGATCGCCAACGGGACAAATGACATCGCAGTGGGGATTGATGTAAAACCGAGGTGTTAGACCAATAGAAAAGAATACAAAGTTGTGCTCAGCTACGAGGGCTTTCTTGTAGTATCTCTTGGCTTCTAATCTCGACTCTCGACAAACACTAAATAGTGTGGGAATGGGAGTATCGGATCGAAATCTGACAAGCTGTTTGGATTCTTCTTCTCCGGTGACTTGTTTGCTGAGAAAATGATGTCGCTTTGCAGCTACAGGTACATGGCGGCGTTCAAAAGAAGCGAATTTCCATACCAAGCGTCGAAGCTCAAGGGGTAGTTTAGGAAATTCCGTGAAGGATTCCCGACCGCTGCGTGAAGTGGACATGAGATTGTTGAGTGATGATTTGATGTGGAGTGTCGACGATGTGTTCGATTGTGGAGGTGGAATGGTTGGAAAATTTCTTTGAGTAGGTAATTTGTAGTTATTAGTTTGGTTTCTTTTGTATTGAATTGTGTGTTGATAGAAGAGTAGGATTTCTGAGAGGATTGTAGAGCTTATATGACCTTTCTCATCAATTGTTCATACAGCCAACTCGCCGTAAGGTCTTCAACACGACAGAGAAAGTCAACCTCTGCTGTATTGGTATCATCAAAACCGTATCAATTCATCCCACTTCATCCAAAGAAGGTATTTCTGTCAGGCTTGCCGTACACCGTATCATATTCGACAAAAGCAACCCTAGAAATCTGACCAAAACTTCCAAGATGCATCCCCATCATACCGTACTAGAACCATCGCCACCACCGTATCATCGTACCTTTTTCAGTCTTTTGACAAAAGTTCTGATGAATTATCCAAGCACCGTACCATCCATCACAAACAACGTACCGAATAATTACCCTAAAATCCAAATCCAAAGCCCGCATTCCCATTTCCCGGACCTCCCATTCCAACACCCCCAATCCAATCTCCCGCATTCAACCAATCAACCTGTCCCCACATCTCTTCCATGCCTATCCCCTCTAGTGATTCCAATCCCGTATTGAAATCCAAGCTTGCCGTAAAGTCATCATCGAAAACCGTCTGTTCGGTCTGCGCAGGCTGTGGTATGAAATTAACACCCGTGTTGTCCCATACTTGGGGTCCCTCAGCTCTTATTCCATTTTCGATCCCTATGCTATTTGTGTATTCTTGAGTCTGAACTTGTTTTGGATCAATTGTACTTTGAGCCATTCTGGAAGGGTCTTCTTGGTTAGAGTTGCTTTTCTCCTTCTCCCTTTCCATTTCCCTATCGAAATCTCCCCCATCGAGAACCCACTTCAAAACACGTCCCACCACTCCCCTGACCCTTCTCAACAACGCATAATTCCCATCCGTGTCTCTTACCCAATCCAGAGACGCACCAAAGAGTGTCAATTTCTGAATCGCTACACTTTTGAAAAACCTCGCCATTGTTTTCTCTTGAGTGCCCATTTTCCTCGTTTCAGAGCCAGAAGCAGAGGTTGAATTCCCACTCATTCTTTTTAGCAACTCCACACAGATTACACCTGCCGCAGGGATTCCATAGCTCGTAATAAACCAATCGAAACAGAACTCAAATCCAACCAATACATCCCTCTTCTCCCACATCATAATGACCCTATCCAACATCTCCATTGCCGTATCCAGTAACCCCTGGAAATAATTCCCTTCGAGGCGATTTGCTACTGCAAGTCTATACAACAAAAGAGTATTTTGTAGTGCTTCAAATGACATGATTAACTGTACAAATAGTAATCTCCCCGTTGATTTTGGATTAAACTGGAATTGAGGTGGTCGATTCAGAGATAAGGATGCAGTACGAGAAAGAAGAGAATCTATGCGTTCGCGACTAACCTCCACATCCACACCTAAAGCTCCCTCTAAGATCTCTTCTTTGATCATGTAGAGCTGTAAATTAGCTCTATGGCAAGTAGCACAATAAACTTCACCTTTCCGGTTCCATCCTTGCTCATCGCACGCAGCTATTGCTTGTTGCATTTGGGCACGGGGAAGGAAAAGTTCTTTTTCTGAGAGATCGGAAGGCATTTGGAGACGGCAATAGAGACGAGAAATACCAGGCGGTGTGCCGTTGAGAGCTGAGGAACATTTGTCCATGGTGTAAACTGAAGCGAATAATCGACGCTTGTATTCGGCGGCTGTGGTTAGGAGGTGAGGAGGGAGACGAGGGAGACGGTGGAGTCCAATAGCACACGCTGATGTTACCATAGTTCCATGTCGGTTGAGATTACTATAACCTTGATTTTTGAGTTTTATGTTAGCCCATCTTCTGAAACTGTTATGATCGGGACTGAGTCCTTCAAATTATGGAAAGCACATACTTTCATCCCCCACTACTGCGCTCTGCAACACATAAATAGATACCCGAAATGCAACCACAATCTCATTTACCGTATCTGTACAATCACACATTTTCCCCATAACGTCCGCACACTCGTTCATTCTCCAACTTGTTTGTCTTCTATTCCTTCCATGATTTTCCTCTTTTGGAAACAATGGATTTCCATCAACAAGACTCTGATATGCTCTTCCTATGAAGCAGAACAAAAGCCCCATAGATTCGAATCGAATGTTGGGCCCACAAAAAGTATCGAGCCATGCGATACCATCGTCCGGAGATGAAGGTAACGGTGTTTCTTCGTTTCTGAGCAATGTTTCGACGAAAGGTATGAATTTATCCTTGCTACGAGGTTCAGCTAGGATTGGGCCAAATGTATCATAGATACTCGAAATTAAATATTTGATCATGAATTCGGGCAGGACTGCGAATTCGAGAAGATCGTGATACCGCTCTAGAAGTTTATTACAGCTCGAAAGTGACGGTATGTTCCAAAGTGCTTTAGTGATCATTTCACATCGAATTGCGTAAGATGTCGGTCTATTTCTTCCTAGCTTTGAGAAGGTTAAATTTCCAAAGGCTGAAATAAAATGATATATGGGGACTCACAAGCGGCGGACCAAAAGGCCACGAACTAGGATCTTTTCTCCCATCCTCCCCGATATCCAACATTCCTCCTATCCCACCTGCCAATGTCTCTCCTCTCCTCCCACTCTCATCACTTCCTCCACTCCTTCTTTCCACGTCCAAGTCCTTCTCATCTTCATTCCCATCACCATTCCTAAAAACAGCCCCAAAACTTGTGGGCCCCCAGAACCGTCTACTCCTCTTGTAACTAGCCCCGTTCCAATTATTTTGCATCGTTGGTTTCTCAGGAATCGGATCTATAGAGTTTGGAAACGAAAGTTTATTTGATTGGCGATTGGGGGTTGCTGACCTACATCCGCGGGAAGAAAGGTAGACATTGTTTGAGGGTTTTGTGGTATGAGGTTCCACCTCGGTTGTGAGCATACCAAGAGGATTATTTTGGGGAGTGGTTGACTTGGATATGTTGTGAGAGTGACTTGGGGTTCTCGAGGAAGCTTCTATGCTTTCCCCGCACCCTTCTCTCTCTACATCTCTCATGACAGCAGCATTGGCCAAGCTATCCAATCCCCCTCTTCTTCTTCCTCCATTTTCATCAATCCATTCCTCCGCAGTTTCGCCCCCCCCTCTAACTCTCCCACCAATTCGCCTCTTTTTCACGCTTCCCCCATCCCCACTCTCTTTTCCGCCCTCTTCAGTTCTCTCTTTCTCCCTATCCACACCCCCGCGACTCATAGGCGCAGGATGATACCAACACCTTCCCTCTAACCCCTTCTTCACACATCTACCGCAATATGGCTGTTCGTGCCCACAAGCGAGTTTCCCAATCCTACACGGTTCACACGAAGGACGTTTGCCGTTTCTGCGTAGATTAGGTGTTGAGAACATGATCTTGCCCCCTATTGAGCAAAAATTCGAGTCCGTTGAGGATATATTCCGGAGTGGTACAAGATAGCACTCCTTGATCTTTTCAAGTTCTACTTCCAAAGAGGATCTAGAGTCGGCAAAGATCGCGAGTCTCCGTGCTCTTTAACAATCGTGATTCGAATAAGCACACGCGCAGATTGATCGTGTTTCCGCAAACCGGTAAATAACACTGCGATGACTACTTTTCTTTGCTCATGTGACTCAACTCAATTCAATGCAATTTACAAAATGACATTACCATCACATAGGGTCAAGTTGAGTTGATTGATGAGTATGATGAAGCACTCATTGGTGAGAACAGTGGTCAAAAACGAAGTAAGATACATTCTCGGATGTTGCCTGCGACCGTGCACGTGCCAGAATCATCACCCTATTCCCGAAATAGATCTGACCCTTGCAAGACGAGCCAGTCTACTGGGTTCATCGATACCAAGGGGTGGTTGTCCAAATGAATGTGCGAAGAAGAGTCAGCGATATGAAAAGAAAAGCAATGATAGGAAGAATATTGCAGAAGGAATGAAGGTTGCAACCTGACACATAGTCAAGGGTCATCACGCCACATCACATCACACTCATGTAAACACCCGTTCATTTCGTATAATAATTTTTATTGGGATTGATATGATCAAACTACCTGACTTCCCACTCACCTCCGCATGGGAAAGTAAAGTGAATAGGGAGGTTTGTATGTTTCCTTAACTATCCTTTTATTTTCAGTCGATTCGCTGATCCGATATTTTGTTTAATGACTCCTCTCCTAGCATTCATCTTATCAGATTTGCTTGCCTTCGCTCGCCTAAGCACCAGCGTTCTTCACTAAATAATTCATTTCTTACTTGCATATTTGCAAAAAGAAACTATCCACCCCACCTCTGATATCATACACTTCATCCCAATCACCCCCTTCAATTACGATTTCCCTTCACCACCTCCTTCCATCACTCGCCACAACAATGAATCAAAGTGCGCGAGGTAATCAAGCAACTAAATCAAGGTCATCCTACCAAAATGAAAGAGTAAATTGGTCAACGATCGATCAAGGTTCATTATCAGCACGCATGAGAGCGGTACTGGCAGCATGTGTAAATCAAAAAGCAAAACTCAATTACTGTCCTCCAATCCTCCATCCCATCTCACATTTTCCCCAATTCACGATGTCACGAATATTTTGAAGAATGCATAAAGCACGTGCTACATCGACTGATCCCATTTGATGCTTCAAGGCAATCCAAAGACCGGATTCTCAAAAGTGGAAAGCTCGAAGAACAGTTGTAAGTCGATGAATGGAATGCATGATATCAAATGGGATGTCAACGAGTTTTTGAAACGTTTGGTATTGTACAACGTGCCCGTAAAAGTGTTTGGGAAAGATGATGTACAATTTGAAAGGCCATTTTCTTAAGAGTTGTCGCAACGAATCCCGATGATTGGCATGAAGTACGAGCTCCCAAGTTCGCAACCAGGATGGAGGTCCATTGAAGATGAGATTACTCTTCTTCAGAATCTGAAGACTCATCACCACTTGATTCGTCTTGCGTATGTTGCTCGACGCTCTCAATGGGTTCTTGAGAAGCTGATCCTGGGCCTTTCTTGAAATCTTGAACCTTTTCTCTGAGCAGTGCGATTTTTCGTTCTTGCTCAGTTTTCGTCATGGGCTTGTTCTTCTTCTTTGGAAGAGGTTTGGTCATAGCACGAGGCTCTTCCTTCTTATCCTGATACTGCGCTTTAACATTGACGACAGTTTCTGGTGAATGGATGGCAACGCTATCATAGATCTTCCAGAGAAGGTGTACTTGTAGTGATTCAATTTCCATTTCAATAGTACCATCTTCCTCGACCTAAATAACGATGTTAGACAATCTTAAATTATCGAGTATAGAATTTTTTTTACTTACCACCATCTCTGGATGAGCTTCTTTGACCAATTCCATGATTTCTGCGGTGATGTGGTCGGGTAATTGGCCAATTCCTTGGGAAATCACTTCTTTCTCGATAACTCCTAGGGATCTTTCTTTACGAACTCCTCCAGATTTCTTCGGAGGTCCAGTAGTGCTCTTCTTCGTTGTGGTAACTTTCTTGGATGGTTTAGAGGGCTTTGATTTCTTGCTAGGTTTCTTGGCAATTGCCGCCGCCTTTTCTTTCTCGACAGTTTCTTGAATGAAAGTAAGAATTTTTCTCTGCAGGGCAATGGCATCTGGGGACTCCGGTTTTGATAGCATATCAATAAGCTTGGCTTGTTCGAAAAGAAGTCTGGCGGTAGCTGCACCTTGTAATGCTTCTTGAACGGGCTCTGGCTCATCTTCGCTCTCCTCTTCCTCCTCGCTCTCTTCATCCCTGTCGGGAGTCACAGCAACGGGTTGATGATCAGCGATCCATCGATCCTTCCTAGCTAAAAGTCCATTGAATACCTCCTCAAATTGCTGACCCATGACACGGACGGGATTGCCTTCTGGATTGAACTTGTAACAATTGTGGAAAATGAGTTTCACATCTTGTTCAAACTCCTTCGCTCTGGTGTAGGCGCCATTTTGAAGCTTTTCAGAGACAGTGGAGATATCCATGGGCGATTTAATGACAGTAAAATAATTCGGAATTTGCAATGCGACAGGGTCAACAGGTTCCATGAAAGCATTAGAAAACGCCAAATACTTTGGTTTCTTCAGTTCATTCAGTGTCTCTTCACACCACTTGAGCTCGACAGAATATTTCTTGCTCTTAGGTCTCGCGGAAGAGTAAGGTAAGTCCTTGTTCTTTGGTGGATGAATTTCACGCTTCGGCCTGCCATCTTTTGTTGAATCCCGGCGGATTAACGGCGTACTGGTGACTGGATCAAGAGCAAAAGTTGGGGCTGGAGCACTCATAGGTACAGCAGCGCCAGTAGATCCGCGAGATGGTCTTCTAGCAGTAGGAGTACGGGCAGCAGTGTCAAGAGAAGGCGTGGGTCGCTTAGGTTTCTTGACTTGAGCTTTGGCAACATGGGCTGGTGGCTCGGGTGGTAGACTACCTAGCTTAGTGATAATCGATGTCTTCACATCATGGGCAGCGGCCGTGATGGGATTATCAAGACCATTGAAAGCAATGGCGTTTTCGTAGAGAAGCACGGCATCATCCTTAATGGCTTGGATCGAAGGGTATTCACCACTCTTGATCTTCTTCTCCATGGTACTCAAATCAACCTCATTCTTAACTTTTTGTGCATAAGCATCTGCGAACCCAGGCCAGAGAATTGCGACTGGAACTCTAAAATTCTTTCCAGCTGCAGTCTTGATAACATTTTTGATGATTTTAATGATCTCTTTGGTCTCATGTTGAGTGATTGGGCGCGACACATCGCCATTGGAGGACGAAACACCGTTTGTAGTTACTCCGTTCTGCGCAGGAGCTGGGGTTCCGACATACGAAGGGATTCGAGGTTCCTCACTTTCCTCGGTCTTAGTGCGTTTGGCGGATGGTTCTTCATCGCCATCATCCTCCCGCTCACGAGCAACTTTTGTAACCTGTGGTTGTGCGGGCGCATCTGTCATATCAACATCACTTGTACCAAGGTTGGCAGCCGCGAATTCTTGAGTGGAGTTTGCAGTTGCTTGCTCCGGCTTTGGAGAAAGATCCATGTCAACAGAAGGTGGGGCATTGTTGGGAGATGATGGGGGTAGATCGGGTCGGGGCGCATCGAAGCTAAGATTCATACCGTCAACACTTTCGTCTTTCGTCTCTTGTGCTGGTGCGGAAGTCTCTCGTTCAAAGGTCAATGACTCTGCCTTGTTCTCTGAAGCTGGTAATGAGAGTTGTCGCGTAATTTCCGGTACTTGAGTACGTGGAGATACTTCATCCGGTATATCGGACGCAAAAGCTGCAACAATAGGTACAAATGGTGTAGATGCGAGATTATCGTTTGCAGCTTCAGGTACTGAATCAGCTGGTGTAGGTAGATCCGATACAGTACGGTCTGGTTCTTCAGTTGCTTTTGGAGGCTCGTCGGAAACCGTTGTGTTCGAGTCTTGAATTTGGGATACGTTTTGACTCTCGGGAGAATCTTGCGCATGCGATTCAGCTAATGTGGACTGAGGAATGGAACTGTTCATGGCATGCGATTCTACATTCGAGTCCCCATCGTACTTTAGCGTTGAGGCGATTTCAGCGGATTCAGAATTGGTGACTTCGGGCGCAGGGAAATTTTTCAATTCAAAATCAGAGGTTGTTTGTTGTTCTTCAGTTCTGGTATCATCTCGAGTAGAAGATCTATATTTTTTCATTGATAAATATAAGTGTACAAGAAGATGAGGAGAAAAAAAAAGGAAACTGAGTAAAGAAATCATGGTAGAGAAGACTTACCCGTTGATATTAAGATCCAAAGCCATCGTATCAGATGATGGAACGGGTATTGCCTTTTGCTCCAAAGCTACATCTTCTGAGTGCTGGGTGGTCATGACGGCCATCAACAAACAGAGATCCTCTATTTACAGAGGTATTGCTTGCGACAAAATTGATGAGAAGATAGCTCTGGACTGGTAGTTGAAGTTGGAGAAATTGAAAGAAAAGCAATGCGACAAGATCGGATATATCGATTCTCTAAAATTTGTTTGAATTCCGATAGTTTTATTTTTGGTCGTAAGATGGATGGATTTGTTGCGACAGGAGGGATTATTTAAGTTGGTTGAGAAGTACTGTTGAATCAATTAGTTAGATTGCGCCCGATAGACCACGCGACTTCAATGTAGTGAATAAGAAGAAAGAGGAAAGTGTATTGACTCCAAAACTGAACTGTACTCAGCGACAAAATAATATAGAATAATGTGTGAAGCTGTTGAGGTAAGGTGGCGGAGTGTGTGAATGCTCTTCCTAGACCTGCCTTTATTTCAATCCTCGGTGCAGCCTCGTCGATATGCGACAAAGAATTTGAGTTGCAGCCTTGCGATTTTTAAAGCTAAGGAAGGTAGGTTCAAAGGTTCAATCAATATTTGGCCACTTGCACTCTTGGTTGATTTTCCACTTTGATAAGCTGGACTACCACCCAAAGCAAAACAATTGAATTTGTTGAATGGAAAAGTACAATCGCGAGTGGGAATTTCTTTGTTTTGTGGATATGTTGCTAGGTAGGATGCTGGAAGCTGTCGTTGCTCTCTCTCTCTCTCTCTCTTTTGATGCTATTGTTTTAATAGAAAAACACGCGACTTTCACTCGGTATTCCGAAATCCCTAGTTCTTTTGCTCTTCGAATTCCGATTGAAAGTATGGTGAAACCAGTGAATCGTCAATTGTGATATGAACTGATGGTTATGATATAGAGATTGAAATTATATTGTAATCAATCCCCTGGTTCGAATTGGAATCAAATCAAATCGCCATGAGAGAGGTTGAGAGTGGGTGAGATGAAGCGCGACGCGATTTATCGTGAAAAGGTACAACTAGCGAAAGAGACCTCCTCCCCCAAAATCGCGAATGTAAACAAGGCCGACCTAGCGTGGACTAGTGGGCGTATGTAGCTCCAAATACAAATACAGGTTGGTGATGAATAAACCCCTGACCTGATGGGATAGTATCGTATCGTGTTGTGTGAGAGTTTGGATACGAATCTCTTCACTCTCCAAAATGGTGTTGATGAATGAATGGAACGATTAATAAGAGAACTATATTCGTTTTCGTCGTTCCAAGTTGATCCGATGCGCGCAACCAACCACAAAGGATCAATTACCCCCCAGTCGTTCTCGGCAATAACGTTCTTCCTTTCCGCTCCTTCACTCAATTCACGCCACAAAAAGAAAAGTAAAGGGGAAGAAGAGGGGAGGACAGAAGACAGAAGAGAGAATTATTAACCTTTTGCGATTGCTCTTATTCTTTTCTTTGGTGGAAAAGAATGTCAAGAAGTATATCCTCAAAATATAAATCAAGTTTTGTAAACAAAGAGACAGGAGAAACGATTCGAGGAAGACAAAATAAAACAAAAACAAAAACAGATAAAGCACTCTAATCACAATAATACAAGTGAAGAATGAAGTATTTTGGGGAGGTTTAGTTGTTGGAGTGGATTGCGTTTGCGTCCGTGGAGTTTCAACCGATAAGGAAAATCGTTATCGCCTTTCTTGTTTCTCTCTTATGATGGTCGCGATGAAGGTCATGTGTCGTGGGGGAGGTGAGGTGTATTTTGAGTGAGGTTTTGGCTGTTGATCGGGGGTGGTCGGTGCTCTTCAGTACTTTGGACGAATGAGAAGGCTGTCGCAAAATCAACCTTTAAAAAATTTGGTTGCAAGACGAGAACTTTCGGGGGGACATACGATTAACATATTTAAACGATAGCAAGTGATGACCATGAAGCTAAACCTAATGCACCATTAGTAAACTTATTAACACCTTGTGCTTAATCTGCAGGCTGCCTCTTATAATCCAATCACATCGTTCCGTCAGCTCCCTCAGCCCCACAGGAAGCAAGGAAAGGGAAGGCTCGGCAAGGATTCTCAAAGGTTAAAATGGATCCATACCCAAGCAGGAGATTTATTGGACCAATCATTTGTACATCAACAACAGGATTAAGCCACATTTCCATTCTCGGATCCACCCTATCTGGCCCGCATCCATCGACACTTTTGTTGCTCAAGATAGCCACTCCACGTGATCAAGATTTATTTTTTCTATCTTGGGTAAAAAAAAGTTTCTTGAAGTTTTGGTTTGGTAGCTTCAATGGTAAGAGATTATACCTCAACTCATTCAGCACCACCACCATTTGAAACTATATTGTCTTGGTTTCGTATCATCTCAATTGGATCATCACGTCCAATTCACAGTTCAATTCACATTCGATCTTTTTCGATTAATCCTCTTTCGGAAGATTGTTTGTTAACTGTCCACCAATTCCTCAATTCGAACTAACCTACCCAATTTTCGTCATATTCAAACTTCCACCTCTTTCGTACATCGCACGACCAAGAATTAAACAAAATGTCGACCAAGAGAAAGCTCCCGACCAAGCTTGGTCAACCAATGGTTAAGCAAGGTGTCAAATCATTTGGAACGGGTCATCTGGATGAATCGAAAACTGTGGTATCGGGTGGAGGAGCTGCAAGCAAGGTGAAGACCAATGGAGCAAAGAAGAACGAAGTGGTCGAAATATCCAGCGACGAGGAAGAACAAAGTGACGATGATATGGAAGAAGTTGAGGAGGAGGGAAGTGATATCGAAGAAGATGGCAATGTCAACGCAGATGTGACAATGGGAGATGAAGGAGCTGAAGCTGTCGAGGAAGATGGAGAACCAACATTCGGAGATCTTGTTCGAGCAAACGCCTCGGAACCTATCGATGTTGCCGCCGCTTTCGCAGATTCTAAATCTCAAACCCTTTCATACCCTCAAAACTCAATCCAGGCTCCTTCCGGCGCATCCCTTGGAACCGTTCTCACTCAAGCACTCAAGACCAACGATGTCGCCTTATTAGAATCCTGCTTACATACTACGGATCTTGGTACGATTAGAGCTACAATTCAAAGACTCGATTCTCCTCTCGCCGCAATCTTATTACAAAAGTTGGCAGAAAGATTGCATAGAAGACCTGGTCGAGCTGGTAGTCTTATGGTTTGGGTCCAATGGTCAATGATTACGCACGGTGGTTACTTGGCAACTCAAAGAGGTCTCATCAAGAAGTTGTCCGAGGTAAACAGAGTTCTCGATGAGAGATCAAAAGCTCTACAACATCTTTTATCTTTGAAGGGCAAATTGGATATGTTGGACGCACAAATCGAATTACGCAGAAACATGCAAAACCGATCAGGATTGGACAGTGAGGATAATGATGAGGGTGTCATCTACGTTGAAGGTCAAAGTGATGATGAGGAGGAAGTTATTGTTAATGGATTACCTCAGAGACTCGCCAAGAACGGAGATCTCGAAGATATTTCGGATTCGGAGATTGAGGAGGAAATGCTTAATGGTATGGTGGCGGAATCTGATGAAGAGGAAGAAGATAGTGAGGATGATTTAATAGATGATGAGGCTGAGGAAACTGATGCGGATTCTGGAGATGAGGATGAAGTTGATCACGATGATATTGACGAGCAAGGAGAGGAAGATGAAAGTGATGATGCTGAACAAGGACCACCACGATCCAAGATGCAAAAATTAACAGGCAATCGTTTCCAAAATAGAAGATAATCAAGAGAGTTTTGACTGTTCGATGCATCTTGGGCGTTTGCATGGTTTGGAGTTTTTTGCATGCTTCTCTTTTTTCTTTTGCTTTTTTCTTCGGTGTGGTGTAGGGGATCTCAAAAAGAACACTTCTTTTGTTTTGTAGGAGGATTTTTCCGTTTTTTTCATTGTATGGTATCTAACGGCTATGGATACAAACAAGCATATGATATCTTGATTATATCTGCTTCTGTTTTTTCGTAGGCGAATAGATAGATATCTGGCTGAGCTTGAGCTTGAGCTTGAGCTTGAGCTTGGGTATGTAGGGAGGGGATATCGATAGGATCACTAGGTAGATATCAATATGATGAATTTTGTAGATTTACATAGTACCAGTGCGTCTTTCCTTGTGAGCGAGCCGAGCATATAAATATAGTTTTGTGAGATTTTTTCAAATGAGTTTCTTGAATGTTTGGTTCCGTTCTCTCCTGTAGATACCTATGTAGGTGTGTAGAGTCTTCATATATGCGGAGTATACGGAGTAGGTATATACACACTAGGAGATATTCATCAAGAAGCCTCGAAACCCCCAAAAAATTCAATTCCTTGTCGTGATTCATGTCTAGGTATTTATTCTTGATGCTTTCATGCCTCGGATTCCATCAGGTCAGATGAATCTCGATCTTACAGTCTCAAAGTCGTGGAATCTTGGAATCTTGGAATCTTAATGTCTCAGCGTCGAATATCAAAATCATGTGCAGGGCTGAGTACCTACCTATCTGCCTACCTACCTACCTACCTGTACCTAAGTAATTTTTCTTGATGGATAGATCACATGATCAATACCATGACCGTTACGGAGATCTGGAAGTAGAAGTAGAAGTAGAAGTAGGACTAGAGTTGATAGGATTGGGATTCGAGATGGAATAAGATAGGTTTTTAGTCGTATTTGGGATTCGATGGATGGATGGATGGATGGACGGATTGAAGGGATTGGAGGGGTGGTGCCTCGGACTTGGGATATGACTGGAGGTTGGATCAGATTGAATATGATTGGCGGTGGCTAGATTTTCGTAGATTTTCGTAGATTTTTCTTTTGGTGTATTTTTTGGTACATTCTCGGTGTGTTTTATATATTCCATCATCTTTTGGGGCTAATAGCATCCGGTTGGGATCGCGAGCGTAGCATGGCGTCTAGAGGGAAGGGAGGAGATGTGGTATTGGTTGATTTTTGTACAGAAAACTTGGCTATACCGGACGACACAATTGGTATGCCTCGTACTATATATATACTTGTGTTGGTGATGACAATAATGGTACTCACCAAAGCGGAGAGAAAGTACGACGTATACGGAAATTGTATGGTCAAGCCAAACATACTACAATGTATTTATCATTATCATTATCATTATCACCAGCCTTCGGTTTGTTCGGATGATTTCCAAGGTTCTACTCTACTATTATGATGGCTTCTTTTTCGTTTATGCATTCAAAGATTCAATTCAGGTTATTGTAGCACACTTGCATATGTATTGCGTATTACCTAGGAGTAACTCGACTGAACACCACGTAGGTATGTTTTATATTATTTATGGGTATTTCATCTCATGTTCATATTGATTCATCGGCAATGTACAGAGTACTCCTCTAAGTGACGAAATATTCAAACCATTCATGACTTATCCATTCCCTCATCCATCTCATTAATGATTAAACTTTTCAACTTTTCCTCCCCAACCACAACTAAATTAAACAGGGGCACATCCTTAGGATCCGCTTAACCGTTGCACCACAAGAAAAAGCTTACGAGTCCTGGTTGCGTGTCGATGCAAGCTCATACATATTAGCCCGTCAAACTTAGCCAGGGCCAAGTTTGACGGGCGATGCAGTGACAATCTCATAATCTGAATCTCGATCATTCAATGGTCCACCATAGTCCACCATCCTGTGGTGCAACTTGCAAGAGGTGGTAGGGCTACAGAAGTAAACTGGACTGGGAAGGAGGTGCTAAGATCTTACATAATGTTACATTGTCTTATGAATAGTTAAGTTAAGTTATGGTTATTTCATGCCCCAGTCTCCAGTTCCCTCGACCGATCTGATCTGATTCGATTCGTAGGTGTGATGATTCGTAGGTATCATTCGTACTTTGATCTCGCTGTGATTATCTTTTCTACTTTGGATTTCTTTTATATTGGACTGGGTAATTAATTGATTCTTTCTCTTTTCCTGTCAAAGTCTCGTATCTTTGGTCATCAAGCAAGGTTTGTTCTTTGTATTTGTTGCTGCAATCTGTACTTTGCCATTGTTATACACACATTCTTTTGGGAACTCTCTTTACGATTGATGTTTCTTCCTTTTTTTTCATTGATATTTAACGAGAAAGAGAGAGAGGCTCCTGAAAGCATAAATTCATTTATACACTTTTGGTTCATTGAAGAATCAACAGAAAAGAGAAGGTGATAACATATCCGCTCTTGGCGTACGCAACGCCAGCTTCCTTGGCAGCATCATAATCCTACCTGTTTCAGGAACAAAGTTAACAAGGCTGAATTCTATCAGAAATACGAAAACTTTGTGTATTTACGAGTACTTGATTTCGGGTTTCTCGTCTTCTCTTTGGTTGCGATCGCGGTTGAAGGGGAAGGGAGGAGACTATTGAATTTGTCCGGTTTGTTGGTAGTTGGACTTGTGACAATGCGCGCTTTCACTAGATTGGGTGCGTCGGTGTTTGCGATGGTTCTATCGTTAATGACCATCTTGGCTCTATTACCTCAATCAAGATATACCGAACATTTGAGGAAAATTGAGATAGGAGGGACGAGTATCAATGATGTGACGGATGGTTTATGGGATTGGGCAAGTAGGGATGATGATGATGGAGGAGATGGAGGGGATGGGGAAGAAGGAGGTGTAAGATTGGTGGTTTTTGGAGACAGTTGGGTTGATGATACCATCGAAGAGAATGGGGATGGAAAGGGTAGAAGTTGGACGGAAGTTCTCTGTGAAGAGGTATGTTTGGATTTTTCTCCTTCTTCTGACGGTTGATTCTCGAATTTGACCGATCGAGGTTTGACAATTGGCACATTTACTAATTCAACTATTTTCAGC